CGTTTCGAGCTGTTTGTGTTTGCAAGCAATTCTGCTGGTGATGCTGCTTTGATAAACTGTAGCCTTAGATAGCTTTAGAAAATTAACCCACAGGGCAACTGAAAGTGAATGAAACAATGAGACGTCCATCAAACAAAAGGATGAACATGCTTGACGTGCTCGCAGAATGACGCCCCTGCAACTGCACGCAGTTAATGCATTGGGGTTTCAACCCTGCCACTTCAATGATTTATGTTCATGGGCAATGATTGTATCTAAATGTTTTGTTTTTCAATTAATAGCCTGTAGGTTGCCAACCTACGGTTTGAGCAGTTTGTGTTTGGAAGCAATGATGCTGGTGATGCTGCTTTGATAAACTGTAGCTTTAGGAAACCTACACATGCGGTGTAGGTTTCCAAAAGCTGCATTTTATCAAAGCAGCATCACCCGCATAACTGCTTGCAAACACAAACAGCTCAAACGGTAGGTTGGCAACCTACAGAAAAGAGCACATTTGGCATCATGGTCTAGGAACATAAATCATTGAAGTGGCATGATTGCAGTTGATGCATTGGGGGTTCAATTATACCACTTCAATGCATTGTGTTCCTGCACAATGATGCAAAATATGCTCCTTCAATAGGCTGTAGGTTGCCAACCTACCGTTTGAGCTGTTTGTGTTTGCAAGCAGTTATGCTGCTGATGCTGCTTTGATAAACTGTAGCTTCGTGCACATCTCATCAATCCATCCGTCCGCCAGCCGATTGACATCGATTGACGACCTATCAGAACCAATATTTGTATGTTTGTTGTTTTGTGTTAATCACCCGGCATCTGAGCTCGTCACTGACCCGCCACGGCTGCACAGAAAAGTCCTGATCTGTGCAGATGATCGATGACAGAATTGCGGTCGACGTGATGCTCTGTATAGTATCTTTGCATGCCATGGGAGTGCAAGACTATCAGACCATGTTGAATTGACTAATTGTAAAACTGGAGGAAAGGTGATCTGACAAGGTCTGTCCTTTGCTTTGGTGGTGCCAAATAGAGTCGAAGAGAAGGACGATTCTGTGGGCTATCCATCAAAACCCTGTTTTTTGGGCATGTCCCCAAACACTCCTTCTCTATAACCCGAGACCAGTGCGCTCCGTGTTTTTCTTTGACTCCATTCTCCAGGCGGCCTTCACCCCATCGACCGGTGCCGTGCGCGTGCGGCGCTCTCGCCTCCGCCATGCACTGAGGCTCCAGACCCACAGCTCCCGTCGCTGATCGAGCTTCTAAGGCAATCCAACGTCGACATGTCAATTCTAAGTCCTCCACAGACGTGGTTCGTTGAGGCGCGGTGCCATCGGCCAATTTATTTGGGAGATGGTGGAAGGATTTGGAAGGTGTCGCAAGTCAGAATCTTGATGCCTGTGATCTGATTCAAGTCTTAAAGAATCTTGAATCAATACATTCTTGATTGTAAATGGGTCTTAAATTGCCTGTGATCTGTGTTGTGCATTTTTTTGGCTGGGTGCACCCAAATATCGAAGGACGCCGGCCAAGCCGCCAAGCCGAGCAACTGGGTTGGGTGACTCAAGGAGCTGAGAGTAGTGGAGGAACCTTTTCGGATCAACGAATGAGGTAGACTGGCTGGGTATGGCTGGGTCATGTTTTCTCAAAGAGCCGATGAATTCTTTTTAAGTGATTTCAACATAGGATATCTCAAGGTCAAAGCCAAGCACTCTTTGAAGACTCCCACATGCGAGGCCGCAAGCTGTGCGCCGTGTGTGCCGTCCTCAACCATGTACTTTCGAGCAGCATCAAGGACACCAAAGATCGTGTCGGAAGACAAAGTCACATCCATGTCCTCAGTCAAACAGACAACTCAGTTACATGTGGTTGTTTAAGCAACAAGTTCTAAAGACAACAAATTTTCTTCATCCACCAGACCAGAAGGTCATGGACCTGGGCCTCTGGCATAGACCCATCGGTGAAGAATTCGAAAGGGTCCAGGCATGATGTCTTCAATCTTGACCTCAGCAAACGCATCACGTAAACGACGTTGGACATCGACAAAACTCGACAAAACTTCTGCTGTGGCGTAGAGATGCGGAGATGTTATGGGATGTTTTAGGGAGGCGCTGTCAAAATCCTTGTTGAAGCTATTCTGGTACATTGTCCGTACAGCACAACGACCAAAAGTGGAGTCTCCCACACAGAATCCCTGGTAATCACGCATACTAGTACCATCACATACCATCACATACCCATTCCATCCCATTCATGTTTCATTCATTGCTTTTGACCCATCCCTTCACACGAACGACCGGTGAATTCCCGAGGAAAACCACGCGTCCTCCGAAAGCCGTCGACCTGAAAGACCCGAGAAGCCACCACTCGTGGTGTCGCTTGTTGTTCACGGAATCCCGCCTAGCAACGACTCGACCGGACCAGGTCGGACGAGGTCGGTGTGCAGGTGTGCAGGTCTCATCCCATGCGTCGCTTTGGTGCATTTTTGAAAAAAAAACAGGTCAATGACCCCAAACTTCTGCTTGAACTTGTTTGGGTCGTAACAATATATAGTAATCTATCAGAATCATAATGTTATACTATATAGGTCCTATCTCTCGCCTCAAAAAACATCTTCGAAAAGACCTCGGAGGCTCGAGCATAGATGGCCTGACCGCACGAACCCCACGGAGAGACAAAACCGGGGCAGGAAGGGGGGGGGGCGGGCCAGGCAGGTTGGGTAGGTCTTGGTATGGCTGACACAAACTGCGAGAGGTGTTTGTAAAATGTTGCAAACATGGAAATCCATGTATGTAACATGGTCTACTGCCCTGTGCCATTCCACATCATTCTACTCTGCATTCACCGCAAAAACAATGTGTGTCTGTAGACAAAGCTCATCAAAGCTCCAAAAGGACTATAGGATCTCATAGGCAAGTGTTTTTCGACACATGCGCCCCAAACTGCAGGAATACCTCTATGCCCAACATGCCTTGGCACGTCGGACGTCACTCTCTTGTCACACCTCCCACCAACCCCTCCGCCGACGGCGGTGACGGCGTGCCATGTTCATCCGTGTTCACAGGTCGCCTTGAGGCCAAAAAAGCTTTCACCCTCGGGTCCAACTTGAAACTCCACATCCTCGTGGCCGGAAAACGGGTCTCCGGGTGGCGGGTCTGACAGCTGACGGTCTCGTGGGTTCGGGCCAGTCGTTGATGGATTTTGGGGGGGGGTTGTTCGTACGAAAACACAGGACCAGCGATTGCTGGGCCCAAAACGCTCCTGCTTTAGACTAAAATATAGACCAAAGACACTCCCCGGCCATCAATGCTTGGCAGCCTATTGCAGCAAGAAACCTTCCTGCTCAGGCTCGCACAGAATAGGTTGCGGAATTCTCAAGCATGACTTGCATCCGTTTGCTTTTGGCATCGGACCTCTTCAGGCACTTGTCAGGCACCAGCATCGAAAAGCAGAACAAAATCAAGCGAAGCAGAGATGTGTGGCTCAAAGTACAACATCGTTCAGTGTTTTCATCGAAAGTCCGCAATCGAACTGTTTCTGCCGGGCCTTTTCATATCGAAAAAGCCACGCTGTGCTTTCTGAATTCGAGGTTAAAAGTGGGGAATTTATGGGAATTTGGAGTGGAGGTGTGGGCTAGCGAGCTTGGCCATTTGGCCAGGGGGGGCTGTGACGGGCTGTGTGGCTTGGAACCTGCTTAAGACGACCCAAAGGTCTTAGCAAATCTGGAGAACTCCAGACACTTGTGTTGTCCCGTGTTGTCACATGAAAGAACTCCGGTGATTCCAACCAAAGCTGGGAATCTGAATAGCTTATGCTACACCAACGGCATGGAGAGTACTTCCTGTCTTTCAAGTGAAATTAGAATCCAAGCTATAGAATCCATTTAAGTTCTTGTTCCTCCCATGGCCTACCTTGGGATCCCTGGACGGCAGCGGATCACGGATCAAGGTTCATCAAAAACAGCAGAAGAACGCAACACTGACACAGCTGACAATGGCTGAACAGCTGGCTTGGATTGCACACATGAAAGTCTAGCCCAGCAGATACGGATATGCAGTACTTCGTCCGGACCATGTCACCGGACTTCTTGCTGACTTTTTCCGTGACTTCTAGCATAGGCTAGCCGTGGCCGCCATGGCCTTTTCGGCGGAAAAACACGGGCAGTCGGCATCGCAAGACCTGAACCAGTCGACCGGAACAAGTCGAAGTCGAACAAGTCAACCACCATCCACGACCATCCACGCTCACTGCTTGTAGCCTTTGGATGCGATCACAGCTTCCGACTTCTGCAGCAACCTGGGAAGCTACGCTGGCTCTGAATCTGCGTTCTTTTTCTCTGGTCAGCTCAGAGTCAGTTCGTCTCAAAGACTACAGACTACAGTAATCTGATGAATTTGGATGTGTGATAGTCTTTGGATGTGTTTGGAGTTGTGTTTCAATGACATCTCGTTCATCCCTGGCCGCCCTGGCCCATGTCTTTTGTTGGAGTGGCATTCAACTTTCCAGACAATCCGGCGGATTCAAACACGGGCAGGAACATGCAGGAAAACTGCACTACCTCAAAAAATGAACGTCTCATGTCATGCCAGACCAAAGTTCCTCCGTCCCAAGTTCGCTGCGCTTCTTCCATACCCATCTCTTCCCACATCTTCCGAGTCGGAAAAATACGGAGCTCCGAGCGACTCTTTCACCGAGCTGTTGGCCAAGTCGGCCGCGGTCTGGCCTTCCTCCCCGGTCGAAATCGGCTCGGTTCGGCGTCAGCTGCCAGTGGGTGGAACCGGGTGGCTCCAGACCGCGTGAAACAGGTGAAAGCCCCAACCTCCGGGAATCGCTATGAATCGCTGATGGTCTTCTAGATGGTTTTGCGGTTCTTGAGACTTCCGAACGACCATCAAACGTGCAAATCAATCCAGATCTCTGTCAACAGGCCCCGTCGGCCACCCAGTGACCGATCTTCCCGGGTCCGGATTCTTCTTGCCCACATCTGCATGGGCTTCCAGTAAAGCCTGCACGGCTTCGACCTCGGTCGGACCCTGGACGCTCTGGACCAATCTGGACCATCCGTTTTGGATGGTTTTTGGGGCCGTGTTCGGTTTCTGGACACCCAGACTCGATTGGTCGTACCATTCAGTCTGTTTTCAGGATGGTGCCTCAACATCTGATAGTTCTCGACCGGTCGAATTGGTCGAAACGGGCAAACCTAATCCAATACAATGATTTTGCTGGTGATCCACGTACTTCTTAGGGAAGTGGATCCAAGTTTCTCCAACATCATCAAGTTTGTCTTCAGCGTGTTGATTGAGTCTCCGACATTGCTTTCCACAGCCGCCTTCATCAAAGCCTGAACAATTCTGGGCCGAAAGACGCCCAAAACCCTGGGTGCGAAAACAAGCTGGTGCCATCTCTTGAGCCATCGGTTGAAACATGTTCCATTCTATGTCTCGTCTGATGTCAGATCGCCCACTTCCAAGTCCATCAACGAAATCGCCGGAACGACTTGCCGCTTTTGGTGGAATAGCAGTGGGGTCAGCGACGTGGAAGGCCAAGGGGCTAAGGGTATACCTTTAGACGACAAGTCGTGTCCTTGGGGTAATGGTGTAGCAGTATATAAAGATTCTAAGAGGTCATCTGGGAGGTTGCAGCAGCATCACATGATCAAGCAATCGCTCTTCCTGCACGTCGACTACCAGGCGCCGGCCCCCACCACTGCAGCTTGGGAACTGTCTCACCAAGGCCATTGGCATGATCCAAAGGGCAACCATGTTCGATGAGCAGTTTGAAGGCGTCCAACTTGAAGGACATGGAATCTAAGGCCTCCAGCGCGACGCAAGCTGGCCGATTTCGCGCCATGCGGGCGGTCAGACGGCTGGAACCCAGCCCGGTTCGGTCAGACGAGTTACGGTTCGGTTTTTGAGGAAACTTGGCTGAAAGAAACTCCACACGGTATAAGTCCTACAAGTACAGCACCAACTTGACGCGCCAACTCCGCCGAAACTTCCCCCCAAACACCTCAAAAACATCCCACCAACCCCACAGGTCCCTGCCATCATCAGCACCGTTCCCACATCTTCCGCCGTGGCTTTGGGATCTGCTTTGGCCAGCAGCAGCATCCGCAGCAAGGGCTCGTCGCAGCGGAAGGCTGCGGGGAACCTGGGAGCAAGCGCTGCTCCAAATGCTGAAGCCGTCCGGCAGAGCGATCGCTCCCGCTGTGTAGTCCTATGTCCTACAGTGCTACTGAGCTGGAATTGTGACATTGGTTTTATTGTTATTGGACCATCTGACCATCTCAAACAAGCTAGAAGGACTGAGTCAGTCTCTTTTGACTCCAAGTCACAGCGCAGTCTTTCCTTTGCAATCAGCAGCGGCAGGATTTGCACCAGCTGTCCTGAAAAAAAAAGCACCAACATCGCGCGCTCTCTCTCTCCCTCTCTCTCGCTCTCAGATGTTTTTCTTTCAGCTGGGGTCACAAGAACCATTCATCTCAACTCTAAGGGTCAACGGAATGGATTGCATGTTCGAACCGCCAAACGGCCAAGGGTGTTTATAGTTCGGGCCTAAAACAGTAGGCCACAAGGTTCGCACGGCTCGAGTTCACCAGGGGCTCATTCTTCTATGACTCGACAAAAAATGAACAACATGCAAGCGAAACATACCAAAACTATACCGAACTGCCCCTTCTCCTTCAACAGGTTCTTCTTTTTAGAACCAGTCCTACAACCAGCTTGTCATACCGAGTCAAATACAACAGCAGGTGACTCCCCCTGGGCACTAGCATATAGCGTCCACTCGCCACATCGCAACCCTAACGTGTTTGGACGGACATGTTTGGACTGACATGTTTGGCTTCCGCATCCCAGGCGCAGGAGGACTTGGGCCGCTTGCACGTGCTTCTTCTCAACTGCTTCGATGAGGGCGGTTTTCCCAGACTTCGCCCTGGGCCGCGATGGGCGCGCGCCGCATCGAGACGTCAGACCGTCGGTCGTTCTAAGACTCCAACGTGGCATTGACGTTCACCTTCAGCTCCAAGAGCTTCTCAATCTCAGGACACATGACGTGGGCACCCAAAGAATCTGGACAGATGAGGCAAGAGAATGCAAGAGATACATTCTGTGTCGCTCTGTCAGAAGAGGAAGACTACATAATATGACTAAAAACATCTAAAAACATTAAGTGGGCGGGTTGGGGGTAGCGAATTTATAGTGCTAGAACATTCGATTTATAGTGCTATTATACTAAAACCACTACAGACCACCCTGGAAAGTAAAAGGACCTCGACAACAAAGCAACTCAGGTCATCAGACTGGCACAGTGGACAGCTGAGGTCAACACGCACTCCAGATTGTTTTTGCTGGCAGCCTTCCGCAGCGAAACATCACCAGGGAACGTTACAGAACAGTAGTTCCCCTCTTGGCTGAAGCTTGGAAAAACCAATGAAAAAACCTATGGCCAAGACACCGAACTTCTCTCAGCAACCCTCGCCGTCTCAGGCCGCGTGCGGCCTGAACCCTTCCACGGATTCTGAGTCAGTCGAGTCTTTGGACTCCGAGCGTCGACCGATGCCTTCATCAAAGGCGTTTGCCCAATCTTGTTCGGGACATCTGGATCGACGCCTCGTGAACCACGGGCCACAGAGGATGGATCGGGTGAGTCTAGTTAGACCGGCTCTGCGGTCTCGGTCTGGCCGAGGGCGCGGCTGTCGCGCGCATCCAGAAGGCAGTGTACCTGACAAGTACAACATGATGAGCAGCAGGTGTGTGCGTGTGGCCTCTCTTGTTGGCGGGGACGACCACGCAAGAAGACAGCGCTTTCCTAAATAATCCTAAAGAGTCTAACAACTCGTAAAGCCCTGCTAGCGACTGTCAATCACCCGTGTGTGCTCAGTGTACATTGAAAGCTTAGAGAACAACAAACGGAAAAGGGTGAAAGGAACAGCGATGGAATGCCAGGAAAACGACAGAACAACTCAATTCAAGTTCGACTCCATTCAACCCTGCAAGTGCTTAGGACATTTTAGGACGCTCCCTGCCAATTGAAAGAGTAAGAGGTCCCTCTTCACCCTTGAAACGGCGCTCCTCTTTCGCACTCATTCATCCAGGCGTCTATTTCCAGATGGTTCTGCGCAATGGCCATCATCAAGGCATTATCTCCATCCAAGTCGGATGCCATGAGGTCAGCCTGAAAACGCCCACCGACTGTCCTTCGATTCGAAAGTCGGACCGACTAGTAGCTTCTTAGTTACGAGTAGGCGATGCCAGAAGCGCCCCGTTCATAGCGTCCCCTTGCTCCGTTCGTAGCGATGCCCTTTGTTACTAGTAGCTTCTTGTTTGCTGACAATGCCCTGGAAACATCTTCAAGAAAATGGAGCTCCGGAACTGGTGAGCTTAATGCCGTGTTCAGGTGGGAACGACAACACTCTGCGAACCCGTGTGATGTCAGTTATGCTGAGAGTTAGAAACGCATCATGTGCATCGTGGGGATTGTCTTTCCACGTCTGCAAAGGGTACTAAGCTGGCTTAGTACTTGTTTCGGGCCTCCATGATCTTCAGATGATCTTTGCTTTATGTTCTGTATGTGTTTCATTTTGTTTCCGGTTGAATTTTCCGAATCTTGGAAATCTTGGAACACCACCTGTACTACCTACACAAGGAACGTGTCTCAACCAGGTGATCCAACAACTTGGCCTGACAATCCCTGACGATCACCACCATCAGCGATCTCCGTGCATCTCCGTGCCTTGTGCTCCATCAGCACCTGGACGATCTCCCTCTGTCCCAAGGCAGCCGCCCGTAGCAAAGGCGTCGTGCCGCCCTCGTCACTGCAGTTGCAGTCGCCCTCGAAGTCCTCGCGGAGACGCTCCAGCACCGACGCCTCGCGCAGCGCGACCGATCGCCGAAGGAAGGCGTTCGGAGTGACGCAGCTCGGGGAGTGACGGACGCGGCTCGGGCCAAGAGCCTGGTTGCCGTGCTCGATCTCTGCAAAGAGCTTCTTGAGCTTTCCTGTCAGGTTTCGTATGGGCACTGAAGAGCATAGGTATACAAGCGTCATCAACGTCCCACGATCTCCAACAACCCGTCGCAGGGTATGTGGTCGTCGCGGTCTACGTCTGACCCTCAACGAGGCGGTCATTGGACCCTTAACGAGGCGGCCCGGCCGTCCTGCTTGGCCCTCGTTTTCACCTGCAGGTCTCAGAAGATCCATCGGGATCGGGGACAGCCAACGCGGCCGTCACAGGGACCCACGCTCCCCAAAAAGCCGTGATGCAACCAATGGGTGAAGCATGGTGAAGCATGGAACTCACCACATGCATCTTGGGCGGAGCAACTTGTTGGATAGAAAGGTGTGCATATGGTTGCATGTTCATGTCTTCCTGCAACCTGCATCTGGGCTGTGGAGAAGGGAAGGGAACATTTGGAAACTACTCTATCTGACTGAGTAACTATCGTAAGCAGCAGGTTGCATCTGTAGCAGTCTGAGCCCAAGCTGCATCAGCACAGAAATCATTGTGTTTGGCCTGTCAAGTTGCATGAATCGAACACAAAAGTTCTTCCAAACTAATTATTTAGATCTGACTCAGATCCAAAATCATCCAAATCCTATGTCAGGTCTCAAATTCTTCAAATCCATTTCCATCCATCCATGTCCATCCTTTTTCCTGGTGCTCCGAAAGTCTCTGCCTTCAGCTAGTTGGTCCATCCGGTAGGGGGGGGGCATTTCCAATTCTCCGCTGCCGCTGCCCCGGACGTCCGAAAATGGGGATTGCCACGCAAGCCACAGCTAACCCGTGGATTGGTGGGGAGCCTATCATGCTAGGTCCGTGCGGTGCGGTGCCTTGGTCGTGTCACATTGGAATTGGGCCACCGGTCTGGATCATGTTGGACCATCCCTACCGATTACCCAGAAAAGGCGTCAGCGAATTGTACGTTCTTCCTTATAATTAGATCTTATAGGATTAGTAAGTAGGGAGGTTGGACTAGAACGGACGCTGGCTTGGAACTCTGGTTACCATGAGATGCTATAACAAGGATTGGTTTCAAGAACTTCACAATTTCGAGACCAACCAAAAACCTCCAAGATCCAGACTGAAGAGGTCTATGAGTCTATGGCTTCACTGCAATCTTTACAATCTCCTCCTCGGCCCTGTAGACAATGCATGTGGCGCCCTCAGCCACCGTGGAATGACCCACGAAGCGGGCCAAAGGGATCTCGATCTCGTTGTACTCCTCGTCCGCCAGGACGACGATCTTCTCTTCAGGCCCCGAGCCACGCACATACATCACCTGCGGGACGGGCACCACGCGGGACGCGGTCGGGCGCCCGTGAGAGCCACGCCCGGGACGCGAGAGGTTCGGGACGTGGCGGGTCAGGTCGGTTTCAATTTGGAGGGCGTTTTTGGGCACCCGAAGGCACCCGAAGTCTCGAGTTCCCATGTTTAAACATTTTGAGAGTCCAGTCAATGTCTCGGCCACTACCCCGGCGGACTTCCAGGTGGGGTACATGAGTCAGTCAAGTCACGGAAGTTCCGGAAAGCAGAGCACTTCAAGTGAACACACAGGTCCAGGGCTCGACAGGTCCAGGTCCAGGTTGCTCCGCGATGACATGGACGTCACCACTGTCCACATGAACAGACTCCACTGGATGACCAGACATGGTCGACCAGGCAAGGGGGTTTGGAGCTTGCTTGGACCCACATCATCCATCATCCCACCATCCCTGGTGTATACAAAACACGAAAAGAAGAACTTACTTGGACCCTTCCACTATTGGGTGGTCAAACAAAGAAACTGGAGAAAATGTGGTCCGTTTGGCGCACGGTCCTCTTTTTATGGGGGATGCGTTCAAGGGGTCCGCCCCTGAACCCCCTTGGAATCATTTTAGATAATTCTGGGGGGTGTGAGGTAGGTTGCTAATCAAAAGAGACGGGGGTTGCACTGAGACATGATTCCAGGGGGTTGGGGTCAATGGGTGACCTCTCATAGGGGGCGTCAACCTTGTCAGGAATCATGCTCTACATCACTATGTCACTATACTATTCCATGTTCTGTTTGAATGCGCCTGAGTCTTAAGCATTCAGACGGGGGGGTGCATCAACTTTTGTGTAGCACGATGCCAACACGAGCTGCACCAGTCTCTGCGGCCAGCTGCGGGTACCCGAGATTTGCCGAGGGATGAACGCATCGCATCGCCGTTTCCGCCAGAGAACACCTTCCTTTCTCTGAAAAGGGATGGCCCCACACACTTCGTGGTGCCCATCCTGTTCTGACTTCACGCGGTTCGCGCCTTCCGAGGACTGGGTCCAAAAGGCCGGTGCACGGCTGAGCCGAGGGAACCGACTCCGGTTCACCACTGGATATAAGATGATATAAGTCATATTGCATCCCCTGTTCCAAAGAACAGCCTCCCAAGGGTTTTCTTCAAGGTTAATATGACGCACACCCCATCACACCCCACTACCATATGGACAATCAACGTCCTGTACCCCATCACACCCCCAATACCATGGACAATCAACCCTATCAGCCTGTACCCCACTGCCACATCCTAGCCCACTGCCTGGCACTCTTGTCTATCTGGTTCAATCTTGGTCAACTTGGCTCCACTGCCAAACTTCTGCACCCTCTCTTTCCCAGTGTCCAGCTCGTCATAGGTCACGTTGTAGGCCGCCGCTCCGCGCCCCTGCTTGTGGGGTTGCCAGTCGGTGACCTGCCCGAACTTGTCGTCAAACCTGACCGTTGGGTCCCGCGGGGCCCGGAGGAACTCGTCGCGCGGAGGTCCCGAGGAGTGCTCCACCGGCGGCAACGGAATCCCACCACGGTGGTGTTTCGGCGTACACCCGAAATGCGGGTGTGGCCGAAGTTCAAAGAATGACGGAAAAAATCCTCCAAAACAAAGCAGCAACCTTTTCCGCATCGCAGCAGATCCCACTCCTGCCTGAGAATCATGCCCTTCCTCACATCCGTGACGGTGATCAATTCCTTGGTCGAGAAGCACCTCAACGAAGATCTCCGACTTCCAGCTCGGCAGGCTTGGCTGACGTAAACGCGGGCGACCGCCCACATCGTGCGAGGAGGAACGTTTCTCCACCCCGGAGCCACTAGTTCTGGCTCCCTTTGGGGGCCCCTTGAGCCACCAGAGCAGAAAGATTCCTCTTTGGGGGGCAGGGCCTGCAAAATCAGCACCAAAAAGAACCTGGTGGGCAGTAATTTGAGCTGGATGTGCGTTGCTTGCAAGGCTTTTTTTTGAGGCCCTGCCCTTGAATGCTCAATTCACTTATCATTTGCTCCATCACGTACCTTTGAAGTTTCCCGGTGGCACGGTTACAGCAGAGAAAACAAGGCAATGTGGATGCAACGGGTCGCACGGGGTGTGCTCGGCAACACAAACAATTGGAGGAACAAAAACTCTCATGCAATGAAATTCTCCATCCGAGGTCGTAGGGTGTCACAAGCAAGGTCATGCGCTCCATCCACGCGCATTGTTGCGGCATCGGGCGCTCGCTTTTTGGGAGGACTCTTGCTCCGCCGCACTCCTGGCACGTCCGGGAGCTTCGACCCGCAGTCGCACGTCCAAGTTGGCCAAACATGATTCTGAAGCGACGTGTCAACACCGTCAAGAGTGAATTCAGCACGCGTAGCGTATACGTGTTCAGCCCACGAGCTGATGGCCCTGGCTTTGTTGAGGAATGATCAAAAACAAGTCTTGGGCACAAGAAACCTCGGCACCGACTACTCCAACTAGAAAACTGTGGCAATCGGGCGCCGCTACATGCCGCTACTTCTTCTGGTCCAAACTGATCAAAAGATCGAAAGGGGCGCCAAGCGGGAAGAACCCAATCAACCCTTTTCGGCATCCCGGACTGTTCCTTTCGGGTCTCCGGGAGTTCTCCGCTTGCGAACATGCTTGAAATCCGCTCCATGCTAATCGGTTGGTCGCTAATCCAACCCCCCTTCATAGGGATCAAGACTGCTAGCTCCACCTTGAACGCTCCGGGAATGTGGCGCAGAGCGTTCAAGTGGCACTTTTTTTTTTTCCTTTTCACTGAGACTCAAAGGGGGCACCACATGGCTCCATATAGATGTGTTGTCTTCCTAGTGCCAATTAGATCAATGTAAACAACTAACAATGAACATATATATGGCATGTTACATGTTGCACCATATTATGTGGATTTATGTGGTGTCTTAATGCAGTGGATCAAAATTGGCACCATATACAAGTCCAGCACTACAAGTTGGTATATATAGTCTTCCCCAAAAAAGCACTGGTGGGTGGGTCCAAAAAGCTTGTTCTCCAAACCTAGGCAACCAACCAGTGGATCCCGTCAACCCTTGTTTCCATGCGGTGCCGTCCGTGTTTCCATTGTTCCCAGCGGAGGAATCCGCCCTCCCGCTCCTCTCGGTTCGTTGCTAATCAAACCCTCTCATGGGGATCAAGACTGCTAGCTCCACCTCGATCAGTGTGGAGGGCGATCTGGAACGAACTTCGCATGGAGAATGGCATGGTTCCTTTGAATTAAGAGCTTTATGACCCAAACACTCCATGTATGGAATACATATATCAAACGGCTTTGGAGGGAGGAAATTCGACCGTATCAAGCAATGACTTGCAAAGGATTCTATGGGGAAAGGGTTTTCACCTTCCTAGTGGTGGACAGAAGCAGCCCTTTTCCCCAATGATGGCTCATATCACCTGACTTTAGTGTCGATGTGATGCGGGGAGTTGGTGGAACCCAGCGGCCGAGCAAAACCCAGCGGTCCCCTCAAACCGGGGGTGTTTTCACGGTAGCCCCTTGGGGGTGTCCAACTAGGTGTCCCTTCACCACCCCAAAGCAGGGCGGGCCCAAGGTACAGTATACAACCCCCCCAGATCGACTCCAAGCACTCTGACTCGACTGCGGCGGCAGATGCTCCATATGCTGGGATCATGGCTCAAACGTCTTTCCTTGAGAAAACCCATCAGATCATATTTGAATCATATCAGATCAATCAATCAGTATCAAACAGTCTCACTACCAAATCCTCCTCACCATCTTCCGGAGATGAACATCATTTTGGAACTGCCAAATCCTCCTCACCATCCCCGTCCCCGTCCCCGTGCCCTCCCGAATACGCTGCAAATCTCGCACAAAGGTCTCACCCCACGTCTTTGAGGCGAAGGACTTCCCCATCCACGCCAAAGGTCTCCTCAGGAGTGCTATTGCCATCCACCTCCACCTGGTTCCGGAGCCGCAGGCACCATCGCGGAACCGATCGAAAACATTAAAATGTTCAGTGTCTCAGGTTCCGGAAACTATTAGAGGGGTCAGGGGTCTCAAATCCCCAGGTTTTGAGGTCGTTTTGGCCCTTCGGGTAGACCCAAAAACCCTCTAGAAACACCTGGTTCTGGGATCCACTCTGGTCATTTCGACTCGGGAAACTCCTCTCAAGTTGAAATGGTTCGACTGCCACAAGTCGCCAACTGGATCATGGAGAATCAAAACCTGGAGCCCGACCAGTCCATGTAGCGAACGACCTTCGTAGGTCAACCAAGGTATGCTGGTGCCATGACCCACAGCTATATGATGTTCCAACATCATCCAACAACTTCAAAGCAAACACCATCTTTCGCATCTGTTGCATCTTCAAAACCAAACAACCCACCTTGCCTCCTTCCCCCTCGCCTCGTTCATGCCCCCTTCCCACTTCCTGGGCGCTTGTGCGCTGGGCGTCGATTGGAAGGCCTCGGCACCGGCGCGATCGTGGCCGCCGAGTCGGCCGGGCGTCGTTCCGTCCGGGGCGTCCGGCGACGGCCCGGGGCGCGAAGTGGCCGGGGGCGGGATAGCCATCGTCCGGTATCTTGGCACGGTGCGGCACGGGCGGCACGGCGTGCCAAAGAGGCTGGTCACAAATGGCTGGTGATCAAATCATAGCTGAACGTTGGCGCCAAAGAGGTTGAGTTTGGATGCATTCCGGAACTTTTGCACAAAAAGACGAGTCTTTTGAAGGAAACATGCCAGCTTGGACGATCTTCCCAAACTGGTCAGAGAGCTTCTTTCCAGGTAGAAGTTCAACCTGTGTGAATTCAGACTGACAGAAGATTGTGCAAAGCTTCTTGGACAATCTATGAACACACTACAGGACACTTGACATCTTGAGTTTCCTCATAGTTCTGAAGGTTTATCATACGCTTACTCAGAGGTGTCACACGGTGCCCAAAAGCATCTATGTGTTTTTTGATACATAGGACCTTTCATCTTTCATCAGGAGACACTACTAGCAGCACAGTAGTGCGTCGCAATGAAGGGGGTCCCTGCAAAGTCCTCTAAAAAAATAAACAGCGGCTAGACACAGCGGCTCTTGTGGCGAAGCCCTTGTTTTTGTTGGCCTCATCGGTCGCGACCAAGTGGTAGCCCCGGTAGGGTGGGGCACCACCACGCCTCGGAGATCGCTCCCGCCAAACGGGGGTACGGATGGGTGTTCGTTTTTCTACCACCGTCTCTCGGGGGTCCTTAGACCTGTGGACACAAACCTCTAAGGGGCCATTATTGGACATACCAAGGGCTATGGGGCCGAGGGCCTTGGGAGTGTAGCTCAACGTAGGTCTCGACCTCCCAGCCGGGCGATCGGGTCTCCACAGGGGTCTTCTCTCCCTGTTCAAATACGACAGCCAGGCTTGTCTTCTTCGACCAAATGAATCTAAGGCCCCAAACGCGTTGTACACGTGTCGCTTGACCTCAGACGTGTCATTTTCGTGTTCACCCTATGTCCGAAAAGGACGGCGCTCGAAGAGCACCACGATCAACGACGCTGCTGGACATCCAGCCAGCTGCTGCCGCGTGGTCAATCATTGGGACATCTATCTGGGGAACATCCGCCAAGAAGCTCTACCCACCTCCTGAGATTCAGTGGTTGGGGTAGGTGTTGGGACGTCTTGGGGGTCTAACTACCGAGGTGGGACCAGAGCTGGGATCCATCATCCATCCACCGTTCTGACCAGCTTGGTCGAGGTCGAGAAAGCTGCCGAGCCGTTTAATACGTAGTTGTTCTTTTTGGCGAAAAAGACCGTGGAAGGAAGAGGAGGCTTCCCTCGCCTTGATGGTGTTCATGACCACAGCTGTGAGGTCGGAGTTCTCATCCAGCTGGCAGGCCTCGAGCCTGAACATCAACGGCAACAAAACGGCCGTCCTCTGGCGCTGGGAACGTCCACTTCGGAGAATGGGCCGTTAGAAGATGCTTGAACATGCCAAAAAAGGAAAGAAACATCATGAAAAGTCGTGTGCTTCACTTTCGTCTCGAACGCTTCCCTCGACGCATCCCGTCGGCGAATCGCATCGATCTCTCCAGGTCGAAGGCGAAGCGTCCGTGTTCGATTCCCCTCGGTGTCCAGAACATTCCAAAACCAATCCCCTTAAAATGCTCGGGGTCACGGCTGCGCAGATGTTGGAGAGAAACACAAATTGATTGTGTATAATATATTATATATATATATACAGATCGATATAGATTTGATATGCTTTGGTTGGGTTCTAATAAATAAAGAAGGTCACACATATAATATCTGTTCCATTCACGGAACAAACGTCCAACGCATCCCCAAACGCGAAAACGGTCGCACCGAGCGTTTCCACGGAGACGGCCAGGCCACCCGGGCGTGGCGGAGTCCGCTAAGACCTGCGGGCGTGGGTGCTATCCGGTCGGCCACCCGGTCGGTGGAAGTCCCTTATGCAAAAGGAAAAGCCAAACACTCCATGTAAATATGCCCGAAACTACCCCAACATGTAAATATTCCATATATCCATAAATGCATGCATCCTGCATGGAGTCTGCAGTTCTTTGAAAGATGTTGTTGGTTCTATATCTAAACCTGCCTGGTACACGGAATGTAAAGGGAACTTCAGTTGTTGAAGGAAAAGACGTGGAACACCATAACATCTTCATTTATATATGTCGTGCATCTGAAAGATGCTAAGAAGATGTCACCTTGAGGCCTAAGACCTTGCTGAGACGGGGTTTGCACATGTGCAAAAAACACCGGATCCAAGTCTACGGTGCAGTGATGGGAAACAGCCATCTGGTCACCAGTCATCGTCCGTCGTCCTCTCTTCACTCCGCGTCGCCTCACCGCCGCAGGTGATCTTCGTCTGGGCCACTGGCAGGTCCAGCAGCGTCGCCGCTTCCTTCGCCAGGTCCGCCACCGTGCTGGAGGCCTCGACCGTTCCGCGGCGAGGCCCGACCCGAACCGACCGGACCATGGGATTGACTTGGACGGTTTGACCGAAACGCCTTTTGAGGACAGAGCGTGTCCATTGCGAGTTTCTGGGGAAAGCTCTACACCACGGTGTGAAAATGGAAGAGAACATGCCCCAAAAGGGGAGAATTAACGAAAGCCTTTAGGCCGCAGTTCGGCGGTGTGCGGAGAAAACCGCTAACTGAGTCAAGTGAGTCAAATCTGATCGATGGTCTTCTGTCGTCCAATGATCCGCACAGACGATGGGTGTGAACCTAAAACCTGCATCTGCGTCTCCCGAAAACCTGGCTACCCTTGGACCATCCGAGCCGAGCAGACCCCCTACGGCATCGAACGAGTCTTGACAGGTCCAGTGGCAGTTTCAAACGAAAGAGATCTTCCGAAGTAAAAAGACAACTCCCTGGAACAATCGATGCAAGTGGATGGCCTGGGCCTTGCCTCTTGGATGATACCGTTCCGAACACCAAACATGATTAAAATGATGATAACATGATATAGGAAGGAGTGCTTGGAGCTTCACCTCAGAATCCCATGCAGTGCTCCCCCCCTTTACAACTGTACTATCCAGTCGCTCTTAGTCTTCCACCCAAAAACCAAGCACGGCCGCCATGTTTCCACCAACCGAGCCGCATCCAAGGGCAGCGCAGCCCCTGCACCGGTGAGCGACTTCACCTCGGATCCGCCAGCCGACGCGACAGCGCTGAACGGCCAAACGCCCCCCCAAAGGCATGACGAAATGACCAGTTTCCTATATAGCATGTAAAGCCTTGGCATAAATTCTTGGGCTTGGTCTATTGCCAAATCTGATTTTTGACTTGGTCAAAAACAGTATGCTGGCCTTTGGACAGAGCGCCGTACCGAACCACGACGTTTCCAAGGTCGCATATATTTTCTCTGTGAAAACCTAACCATCAGTGAAACACCGAATAAACGTGTGGCGTCCAGCCACCAGCATTTGTCCCCGCAGCCGGACAGCCACCCAGGCTGAATTGCTTGCTGACCAAGTGGCTGTGAGCGTCTTCGGCCTGGTGTGGCCAGTGATCCAACGCCGCGGCGGATAATTAATACGTCGAGGAGCTTCTGAATTTCGAGAAGGAAAGGCTCTTCAGCTGAAGGAAACCACACGTCCCATCCGCACGACTGAGATCCCGACGGCTCTTTCGTCTCCTCCTTCTTCTCCGAAACCTGGGCCTTGACCGTGTCCTCCCACAGCGGTCGCCCCCCCGGGGAGGCAGGTCTTAAAACTCACCAAAGTATCCACCAAGCTCTGCTGAAGACCTAAGCACCACCAACTCTCTTTGCGTGCGTGGGGAGCTCCTAAGGCGGCATGCGGGGTACTGCCATGTACTGCCCGTGGTCTCACTGTCCCACTTGGCAACAAGTGGGTTGGCCTCAAATGCCAAACCCTCGAAGTTGAAGGGCTATCAGTTGCAACTAACTGCAGTGACCCCTCACACTGGCACCCCACCCCCCCAAGAAAGTAGTGTGGCAAGTGCTGGATGACTGGTTTCGTGGTCAGCATGGCACCGTTGAGTCTGGCACCATATGCAATATCATTCCCAGACGCGACCCTGGACCCTGCGTTCAGTAGGGGTCGTACCCAAATCCTCTGGAGGGGTTCGGACCTCAAATCCCTATGGTTTTGAGGGACCAAGGCCTGTGTGGAGCGTCTGGGTTGCATATTATAGCATATATAAATCAAATCGTGCATATTTGGAAGAACATGGAAGAACCAGGTTCTATCTGTTGTTATCTAAGTGCTCACGCCACCTGGTATGAAAGGCATGGCCCAACTCTCTGAACACTGCACAGACTTTGTGCCTTGAGGAGTTGAGCAAACCACGTTGAGAAGTCCTGGCGAAAAGTCCGTCGGCCGTCTTCCAAGATCCCAAGAAGCTTCCGCTTTGCATGACATTGACCCTCCAAAGAAAGAAGATGAGAATCTGCGAATCTGCTATCTCCAAGCTTGTTCAAAGGACCATGGATGAAAATCTAATCTACTGATATCTACTGCAGAAAACTTGTTTTCCAGGCCTCCTCCGAAAGCCCAGCTTTCTGGCCTTCCGAGTTGGGCTCCGAAATTCGATTCCACCCAAGGTCTTTTCTTCAGAGCCACCGTGACTTGAACGGCTTTCGAACCAATCGAAAGATTCCGATGGGCCAACCGACAGTTTCAACGCTCGGTACAAGTCATGATGTTGATGAAGGTTCAGGTCATGGTATTTGTCGAAAGCTCAAATTCAATGATTGGTGCATTACCACAAGGGCAGCTAGCCGACATGGAGATGGCTGGTTTACGGCTTGGGTGATGAGGTTTGCATGTGGATCAGGTTTGTTCTCCATTGCAGGTTGGAAACCCAGAGCTTGAGCGTTTGATTGCTCAGATCGATAATGCTAGTGATGCTTGCTAGGTGGACTGCAAGTCGAGGTCTGAACAATGGATTAATATACCTGCGTTCTCAGACTTCTACAGTAAGATATTACTGATTGGCTGAGGTTGTCAACAAGAAATGATGTTTGAAGGTATGCCTTCATGACTGGAGGTCCGAACCATGATCCAGGTTCATGCGGGTTCATGCGGGTTCAGGCGTCACAGGCCTGAAAAACTGGCTTCCCCTGCTTTGTTTCAAACCAGTTAGATTTAGATCCAGTCAGCGCATTTTTGACCTTTTGGCTAGTTGAATTCTGCTACACAATGCATCTTGAATCATCTTGCCTTAAGATCTTCTTTTCCCTCAGCGTGCGAAGACCACCTTTAAACCCGAGGACCTTGCATCCTGCTGCTTTCATTCACCTTGTTCAGTTTCTGCGCAGCGTTGTCATACATTCTTCACCCACCAGGCAGACCCTCAAACCCCCGTCCGTCCAAGCACCGCAGGACAAACAACCGTCCGGTTTGTCGCCTGGCGAGAAAGGCTCCATGGATTTCGCAATCTCCTGCTGAGCGGAAGGAGAGCTACAAAGCTCTAAGACCAAAAAGGGGGGGTACCGACCCCCCGAGGCGTTCAGTTCCGAACTTCCTGCGGTTTCAGTTTGGAAGGACAGATCGACCAAGTCTACCATCGGTCCCGCGGTTTCGCTGCGCGGTTTCGGGGCGATCGGGTCTCTCCCGGATGTCAAATACACACCGCAGTTGAACACGGGTCAACCCATGGTCAGCCAGGCCCAGCAGTCGCCTCATCGGTGAGCGACATGCCAAGACCTGTCGCCACCGTTTTCTTCGCTGTTCAACGGGGCCCGGCTTCAGCTGGTGGTCTTTTTCCCAACAGCAGAATTCGGAAAAAAATATTTCGAATATCCCAGTCACCTGCCGTTGGGTTGCAGAGCTGGGTTCACCTTTTCATTTCAGCAATCACTGCAACGCCCAAAAGCCCAGGCCGGCCGGAACTTCGCGCGGTCTTCCGGCCAGCCGAAAAGCCCAGCCATTCGCATCAAGCAGATCGTCAAGTTTCTGAGATCATCTCTTAACCTTCAACTGAAACTGTCCATTGATCAATACAACCTCCAAATCATCTATGCCAGCCTAAATATCTGGATGACATACAGTGTTCATCAGTGTTCTGTTATACTTATCGACTTTCATCACCTTCATCCTGCTCCGCCCTGCGCCGCCCTGCGCCTGAGTGCAAATCCTGGCACAACGAACCCACCTCATCCGACCTCAGCGGATGACTCGGGTTCACGGCCGAACTGAGGTGCCAAGACTTCGACGCGAACTGACCCGCTGCTGTATTGGCTCAAGACTTCGACGCGCTGTTCCAGCCGTGTTTGATGCCCGGCGCGGTGACCACGGTGGGACTATTGGTGTTTCGTGTGAACCCGACAAGCAATCATGCAACGTGCAGAAGCTCCAACACCAGTGGAGTGTTGGGACGTAGACTTCCAGTCCGTCTCCTTGTCCCGGTCGTTTCTCTCATCCTCTGGCACTGAGATCAGGACTCCAAGAAGCCGTCCTTGTTCGCATCATACTTCCGAAAGTACTTCCTGACAGAAGCAAAACGCCCCTCAGTTGTTCAGCCACGGGAGTGCTCGAGTGTCGCCACGGGAGTGCTAGGTGCTCGAGTGTCGCCCAATGCGAGGAAAAACATCTCAACCCAGCACGCGCCTGCACATATCCGACAGAAGCTTCTCTGAAGTCAGAAGTGCTGCGGCATACCTGGGCGCGCTCCAGGCGCGCTGGCGCGACCGTGTGCCCCAGGGCGGGCGGGGCGGGCTGTGTGGCTTGCTTCCTATGCGATCCATCTCTTTCACAACACCCTGACTTGTGCCCCCCAACACCACCGGCTTAAAACATTTACAAATAGCGAAATAGGATAGAGAATGATTGAATATTGTGAATAGATTTGAATAAAGATCATCATGTGACATGTGGTGAACCCGAATGCTTTCCTGTTGGACTTTTGTCGCCAGTACTGAAGGGTCGGTCCGGTCTCTCACCACCGCGTGGAGAGCGGTCGAGCGGATGGCGGATGGCGGTGGTGCTTCGGCTTCCGCGCGAAGCGATGTACTAAACCAAGTGATCGAAAAGTCATCCATGTTCATGGCCCTCTAAAAATCCAAATCCCATGGGCGTTTCACATGCAAAAGGGAAAACACTTAACCAAAACGCTTAATGATGTCGGCATAGGCGGTCTCTTTGAGAACATGTTCGACCAGCCAAGTCGCTGTGGGGTAATGGCCGGAAGCCTGAACACGGCTTGCGGGTTTTGCGGCTGCCGCGCTGGTATGTTGTAGGGGGGATGGAGGGGGGGAGCCTTGCGTTCGATGAGAATTCTGGAATGAAATCAATCATCAAAAAGTATCATATGTCAGACTATGAGCTTTGTGATGAGCTTCCGGCTAAGAGGAATGGCTACCTTTGTTTTGAAAAGACCTCGCGATAAGCTTCGCGATCACTGGATCACTGGACTTGGACTCTCCAAGGGACCTCTGAAAGCGAGCGAGCCCACGTCAGTCGAAGGCCAAACCAGAGAAACCCCCAAGTGGAAAAAGTGTGCTTGGGATGGACAGCCATTTGACATGTAGGTGTGGTTCAAGGGAGGCAACCCCCATGAAATGAGAATTCAATAGCCAACAAGAGACAGTTTTCTGACGGTTTCCCTCCTACTGGGTGGAGCCTAAGTCAATTCCTGCACAGGATTCATAAGTTGGCATGAAGGATGGCACTAACATGCCGACACTGATTGTTCTCGTCCAAAATGACATAGGAGTTGGGGTGAAAG